CCGTTAGGTCTACACTGTTCTACAATTCCTGCATCCAGCCATTCATTCAATTGCTTTTCGATTTCGGGCATTGCATGATGTGCGATCGGATATTGCTTGACGTAGTAATCAACATTCTCCTTGATTGGTATAGTGATCTCAGATTCAGGCACGTTACAAAATGTTCCAGGCTTGATTCTCTGATTCTCATCAATAGCATCTTGGATGTTGCTCATATACTTATTCTCCTCAACTTGGGATTCAAAGATTGATGCGGTTTCTGGATCAATAGAATGTTTAGTATCAAAATTGACATTTTCGAAATCGATGCTTTCAAGAAGCTCTGATTTCTCTTCCTCTGTAAGATGTCCAATATCAGCAAACTTGTGAGCAACGCCAGTTAGCCCAATTCTAAGTCGACTTAATGTGTCTACACCCAGTAGCACATCAAAATCGCCTAGGTCCTGAATAAAATTGGATAGCTCAAACGAGTGATCAAATGCAATGTCATTAAGATATCTTATCTTGATAGCTGGTGTTTTACCCAATCTCTTTACTGAATGACTCAGAAAGTTCAAATTGCCTTCGACAGAAATAATATCTTGGGAAGTGAATAGTAGTTTATTGTGAAAAATGTTTTTATTTAAGAAGGTGGAATCTGATCCCGTATCTACTTTCGCGATCAAACGGACTGGTTTTCCTTCTTTGCTCTCTAAAATAATAGGAGTCAGTAACTGAAATGGATTGAAACTTTCAGGTACATTTTTCACATTAGACTTACAGTTGAGCGAGGCATCCTCTGCTTCAATCTCGTCCAAGCAAGCATCTATTTCCTCCATGGTGACATCTCCAACAGCATCACCAATGTCAGAATCAGTGCTACTTTCCATGGTAACATCGTTGGTCTCAGAACCAGAACCAGACTTGTTGTCCTTGCGAACAGTGGTTGTTTGTACAGTATGCACACCAATGTTCTTCCTTGATTCTCTCTCCTTCTTCCAGTCGTAGAACTCTTGACAACGATGACCGTAAGCACGGGGCTTACCACAAAAGTTGCAGGTTTTGGGATCAGAGGATGAGGAATTCATAGAATACGGAGCAGCAGTAGTAGCCCGGTTAGGCTTGTTGTCAGAGCCAAAGTGCTTCAATCTTGACTTACAGTCAATGGTGTTGTGGTTGGCATTGCTCCCGCCATGCTTCGCACAGAAATACCCAGTGGCAGATACCCTTGCCATCTTTGTTCTCGAACCAGAACCACCAGAACCACCCTTACGCTTACCTCTGATGTCGACCTCAACATTATCATCACCACGATTTTGCTCGTCAACAAGGAACAAAGGCAACACACACTCATAGATCTCGTTGATAGTCCACTTGTGGTTGGAACCATGCTTGACGGACATTTGGTTGACCATCATTTGCTGATTCTTGCGTAACAGCGTGAACTGATAGAACTTGGCTAACATGTTGCTGTTAGGAGGGAAGCCACAATCCTTGACGTACTTCATGAACTTATTCGTATAGTCCTGTAGAGTATCATTGTTCTTCATGCGCATGCTGAAGAGTTTGGCCATGGATTCCTCAGAGTTGATGGGAGCACCAAAATGTTTGCGGAACAATGCCTTGGCTTGATCCCAATCATTGCATGCCAGAAGATCATTCTTGGTCCATGATTCGAAGTCAAATGGCAGTGAAACAGGCACGTAGCGTTTCCAAACCAAATTTACTTCATTACCGGATGCTCTGATGACGTTCTCAAAAGCACTGAAGAAATGATCGACTGTGGTGAATCTTGGATGGTCAGGCCAATGCTTAGCTTGTCCTACCACCTGGAAACGGGGGATCTCATTGAGATTGACAGGTCTTGCTTTGGAATCAGCCCTCTTAGTAATCGCATTGACTTGCTTGCTGAGCCATTCGATAGACGCAGATGCTTCATCAGCCGCCAAGCGTTCTTCCTCAGTGTAAGTATCACCAGCGTTACGATGGATCTGATCCAAGCGAGCCTGAGCAGTGTCAATCTTCTTGAGAAGATGATCAACTGCAGAAAGTTGAGCGTGCTCATCCACTTGCATAGATGAGTCATAAGGAGAAGAAACACGGATAGAGTCTTGAGCAATATCCTCTTGAGTGTTTTCGGTAGCGTTGTATTGGTTGTGAGACATGATAAAAATAGTTTTTAAAGTAGAATAATAAAATGTAGAGTATAAGATAAAGTGTAAAAGTGATAACCTTTGAGTTGAAAAAAATGTGGAATTTGAGGCTTTACAGACTAAAATTCACGGAAAAAAAAGAATAAAAAAACAGTAATGTCAACTTGATAAAGGTATATTTTATTATCAAACTGACAGGTGTAAAGTAAACTGAAGTCTCTCTACTGGCCAGGTAGATGGTCCTTCTTATATACTATAACAATGGATAAAAGTTCTATTAATTAGATTGACAAATAAGTCAACTCAGATCAACTAATGTCTAATCATGCCAAAAGACAACTCCAGCAAGCTAATCATGATTTAGCTCTGTCTGGATGAATAATTAGACTCTCATCCGAAGTACCCTGATCTATCCTTTCCATAAGGATAATTAATATCGATCTAGTAGCATGTATCCGATAGGTACAGTCTTCTTAGTCTATATTAATAGTACATATCTGAGTGTATATCGCTAAGCATACATCTTTAGCATGTATCTGGATATATGGCATGTCTATAGCATATCGTATGCATGTCTATAGCATGTCTCATATATAGTACAAGTCTGTAGTACATAAAGTATCTGTAGCTAGTATCACGGATATAAGCATGTGTCTTATAGCGTGGATCATGAAGTGCACATCTGAAGCAACAAGCTCATATTGCATTAATCTTGGTGCCTATCCAGATATGGTAAACATCCGTAGTCAATGTCGGAATACAAGTATAAGTCTATAGTGCCATCCATGTCCGTGGTGCCATCTATAGCCTATATCTTATATAGTATGAATCTTATAGTACTAGCGTATCTGAAGTCCATATCTTCTCATGATCATAGTATAAATCGATATCGTACATCTAATCCAGTGTACATACAGTTTATATCTAAATCTGGTAACTGGATGAACTGTCGGAATGCAGATCATAGTGGATGTATTCCACAGTCGGTTGTAAAGCAACATGATGACACAAATACGCACAACTGCAAAAGCAACAGTGGTATTATAAGTTTGCGATACAACATAATGACTAGTATTGTTTCATGTAAAGCTACAGAGGAAACACTACCAACAAAAGAAAAAGAAGAAAAAAGCGCAACAAGGCAAACATCATGAATGCATTATCACGAGAAAAGAAGCAATGATATAAGCGTTCAAAGAAGTTTTATACCATTGCGACCAGAAGAAAGAAGATACTTACCACTTACCATAGCCACAGATAGATCAGAGGAGTATAGGCAATCACCGGAGACAGACCAGAAAAGACCAGATGAGCAGCAGCAGCACCAGTATCATAGACAAACTAAAGAACGAATGCCATTAGCAGAGAGCAGACAAAGATCAAATAAGTTACTTACCACTTATCACCGGATATGAGCAAGAGAGCGAGCATGCAGCAAATACAGTAGACCAGGAAAGACCAGATTAGCAGCAGCAACACCAGCACCATAGAAAAACCAAAGAATGAACGACACCAGAGACCGGACAAAGACCAAAGAAGTAATTACCAGACATGATAAACCAAAGAAGCAGACAGCAGAGATAGCAGAAAAGTACTGGCAGCAGCACCCACATCAAACAGACAAAAAGAATCATCAAAACCTAATAAACAAATTCAATTAGTCTTAATTCTACGCCTTCCAGTGCTCGTTATCAAATGGTGCCTAATATATTTCAAAGAAGCAGTATAAAGTACTTGTAATAGGGCACGGTAGTGTTATCTGAAGATAGAGTGTTATTACCAATCAAACGGTTTCCAAAACCACCATGGTTTGATACTAAACGCGTTTTGCAAAAAGGAGAAAAAACGGGAGGTATGGAAGAATGAGAGGGCGCCCTATCCGACGTCACGGCCAGTAGATTTGGTCTCAGTCTTTTGCCGCGGCAGCCCTAATTGCGGCAATTTAATATGAAGTTGTATAGTGGGTATTTTCGTGTTCAAACTTGACTTGATCTCACATCTTTTAAACGTTTTTGCTAAATTTGACTATGAAAACTGTCATTATCACACCCAGCTTTCTAATATAATTTTACAGAACTAAAGAAGCTGCACCGAATGGTGCTCATTATATTTAGCTTTCAGACCGAAAATAATGAGCAATTTACAAAAGTATGAAAACATGGTTTTTGCCAAAATGTCGAGATTTCACATAGGAAAATCTCATAGAAAGAGTTTCCAGTGCTGCATCCCGTATTTACAATCAATTTGATCTCATATGTATCATAGGAAAAGTCTTCATTTTTTGGGTGAAAAACGCGATCGTTTGATTCTCAAAAATTTTCCCTTGCTAATACTCATGAAAAAACGATGATTCTCATGAATTTGCAATGACCCAAAAAATTTTGAGATAAAGCATTAGACAGTAACTGCTAATGAAGTACAATCGTTTGGTGCTACTCTGGCGGTCTAGAACGGCCTGTACGGCGAGATATCAGTGCTAGAAAACAGCTCCATTCGGCCGTGGTTTGGTCTTTTGTCGACGAGCGAGAAGTGGTTTCAGTATGCGGTATCTATAGAAACTCAGTGTACTTGATAATTTGGATATCACACATCGTCTGGATGCCTGCTCATAGCGTGTCATTGGCTTTCAGGGCAATCAAGTGAGATAGACGCACCAAAACTTACAGTAAATCAGCAAATTTGTCCTGCTTTCATGGACGCAGCTGGCACTACGTCTTACCTTTGGTATGTGCTAATAGCTAGGCACTACATAGAACCGAAATTTTCGTGGTAAAAGCAAAATTTGCCAACATATTTCAAAACTCTAGTATACAAACGACCAATAAATCCACATTTTATTTGCAAAGCTATGTTGTACAATAACGATCTTCAAACTCTATACACAAATGTCACCTTTTGGTGGTCATTCTCAATAAAGGTAATTTCCAGAGCAATCAAGTTCGTCTGATGTACATCAGCAAAGTAGTAGCCCTTGTTATCATTTGGTGTCACAATAACAGGCATACTTTTATGACGAATATGTGAATCGTACAAGGCAAGTCGGCCATCTTCTGGTCTTGTTTCAAGGTCCTTGATGTGTTGTTCAATCTTGATTTGATTCTCAAAATCGAATCCTATCCATGCAATCGAACTGCTGTGGGGTGCTGTAGCATTGGGCTCTTCTATAAGTCGAAACACCCAAATACGGTCCAAACTCGTAATCTTGGTCTTTTCTGGTAACAAGGCGGCATTGCTGCCAGGAGCAGGCGGTAGTGATTGGTATAATTGCGTGACAAGTTCATGCTGTTGTCTGGAGTCGAGTACATCGCCTACTAGTCCATTGTTGCCAGCAGATATGACTTGAATAGACGGTGAGGATGTGTTGCGATAGACTGCCTGTTGCTGTTGTTGTCGCAATTGTTGCTGGTGTATTGCTAGATTGTCCTTGGGTACATCATCTCGTTTAAGCTTTTGAGCCTTCTTCTTGATAATTAAGGCTGTGCTTACAATACTCTTGAACCACTTTTTTTTCTCCACTGGTTGACCCGGATTGCTCTGATCTATGACAGTTTCCGACTGTTGTAATTGTTGTGTTAACGGCGGTTCGAAAGGAGATGTCAGTTGCAGCGGTGAAACGTGGTCTTCCACTTGAGGGCTAATTGTTTGCTGTTGATAGTGAGCATCCGTAACAGGGGCTGACGATTCAGAGTTAATCAGCGTATTTCGTTGGGTAGTTGTATCTTCTATAAACGAATCGTCGTCGTCGTCGTCGTCTTCAAGAGTAGCGCCCGAGTGCAGTGATTCAGGTACCGTGTACATTCCATTGTTTTGGCTCATGACAGCAGCTGAATAGTTGGCAACTTCTTCCGATGGTGATGCGAAAGATTGATCGTGGTATAAGTAGTTGTTTCTCTCCTCCTCTGGTGTGATGGGATAGTCATGATACTATGATATGGTGCTTTGTTAGTATACAGCCCTTTTGCTTATCATTATTTGTACTACGTCGAACCTGTTTGTCCCCTTGAGAGTCCCGTCTTTTTCCATGTTGCTGCTGTTGCTGTTGATCCTGATAATATTGCTGATACTCATCAGGTGATATTGCTGGCTCGTTGCCCATGTAAGATGATGAACGAGGTCTGGGATGACGAGGCTGTTGATACGTATAGTTGAATCCATTGCCTTGGTCATGCTCAGGTAAATAGTAGAAATCCTGATTCATGAAAGAGGATCTTCTATGATTCACGGGACCTCTGTTGTTCTTTCTTACTTGTCTTGAAGGGCGATCAAATACAGCAGACACCATCGATGGTCCATTTTGTCGCTGAGGGCGAAATTGGCTGCTGCTATTATAACCGTATAGATCAGTTTGGCTGTCAGCCACGCTCTGCTCATCATCGTATTCAGTTTGATGATCGTAGTAGTTTCTATAATAAGAAGCCATATTGTCCTTGCAAATAGCTGGCGGTATACAGGAAAATAAAGGATTAGAAGAGAAAAGATGCAAGATCAAGATGTGAGAGTATCGTGCAATGCTATTTATGCGTACAAATGGTTTGTTATTGTTATTCCTTAGGTTTAAAAAAGGCAACAACAAAGATTGTACAGTTGTAGAACAATACTTTGCTCATGACAGATTATCAAGTGGTACATGAGATTCATGTATCATATACTTGTATTCCACAGTAGATATTCTCCAGCAAAGGGGCTATTCATGCAGATCCGAGACTCCTCATCCATGTCAAGTGCCATGTTGCGCACAGAATTCCCTTGATGGAGTTTCCTTGAGGGTTACACGAGTAGATCGGAAGAGAGATGGAGACGGGACAGAAGAGAGATTTCGTGGGTAAAGCTCGAGAAAAAGAGACGTCTTTGGCATGCTGTTTACAGGTCGACATCTTCATTTGGTACCTTCAATAAAGTCATTATTGTGTAATGCCTCTTTGCGCGTTTGGGATTTGTGTTATATACAACTAAGTTAATAAATGGTATGGGATCTATACGGATTTATGCAAATGTAGACTATAGATATCAGATCCTATTTCATCAGAATTTTCTCCATGATTTGAAATTTGCCGTACACAGTCCATATTATTATAACAAAAAGAAGCTTTAGAAATACCAAGATTTATTAACAACTAGAGAGTGCGTGAAATCAAGGAAGAAGAGATGCTTTACACGCAACAGATCAGATCGTAAATGATTCACCACAGCCGCATGTACCCTTGACATTTGGATTATGAAACACGAATTGCGAAGATAAAGCATCTTCAACGTAATCCATCTCTGATCCTAACACTGTCAAGAGTGCCTTTGAATCAACCAAAACAGTTACACCTGAATAATACAAATGATACACAAACACATGGTTTGCATTAATAAATCGCATTGTGCGTGCGCTCACTGCTGCTACTTCAAATATACCTTGTTGATCAACGATTTCGTCGAATTTACCCCTTGTCTCTGTAAACTCCATCATGTATGAATTGCCGGAGCATCCTTTGCTTTTGACACCTACTCGAAGAAACTGAGGATGATCGCCACTTGACAGCTCCTTCAAACGGGATACAGCAGCTGTTGTCTAGGAAAACATGAGTGCCCTATTGTCACACGCAAACTCTCAGAGCAGTACCAAAGTCAGAGGCGCTTTACTCAATTTTAGTTGACGGGTTCCATGTGTCATAATGGTCTTGGCTGCATGTCGAGTGATGTGAGTAGGAATCATTTGTTTGGATTAATAATGTGTACCAGAAGAAATGGTCATTTTTAAATAGGCGAATGTGAGATTTATATGTCAATCCAGAAAATCTAAAACAGATGTTTCAATATGGGATTTCAAGACATCACCTTTTATTTAATCCATTTTCAGCTGAAGCATTAAAATGAAGCTTAAATTGTGTGGATGTGTGTGTGTGTGGTATATTTTGATTTGGTGTGTGTGCATGTTTGCTGGTTTGTGTAGCCTCAATATGAGAGATCTCCTTCTCTTGTTTCAGCAACAAGCCAAAATGCCACCACTACATCCGAAAAGCTGTCTGAACCATCCAGTGCTAGTTACAGCCAAAATGGCCTTGCGTGCCATGCCATCATCCAATGCCATACACAGCTATCATGGCAACTGGTTAGTTTCAACATTTAGCTTGCTGTTTCCTTTTGAAAGCCAGTTTTTTTTTCTACGTTTGGCCCCCAGTGATTGCTGTGCAAATAATTTCTTCTTTTTTCCCTCTTTTTGTTTGGTTTATAACATAAACTAAACTTGATACTTTCTCAAATACCAAGTGATCCTCTCTGTTTTATTGTATCAACATTTCTTGCTCTAGAGAAAATTGTAAATCACAGAAATAACGAAAAAAAAAAAGAGAGAGAGATAGAGAGAACCCCCTTCTTTTTTTTTTTTTTTTTTTTTTTTTGGCCATCTACAAAACGGATATTGGCTTATGCATAGTACCAATATCAGGTAACAAGCTCTGTTTGCTATTGTGTGTAAAAAAAACGTGTATATACTAAATACATTGTATAGATCTACAGCACTTTCCCTGGAAATTCGAGACAAAAATTACATAATTAAGCACGTTAATTCAGGTAAAAAAAAATGGAGTGTGCTATAGATGGAATGATGGAAATACTGAAATCAGTAATTTGGCAGTGTTGGATACGAAACAGTTTGACAAGAAAACGCACGCTCTACCCTCTTCGACTGTGAATGTTGTTTGCGCTAAAGTTACTGCCACTACTACCACTACACAAGACATGTGGAATAGAATGAACAATGTTTCAAAGAGACGTTCCATAGATGCATATGACCGAACCTATACCGACGAAAACAACCATCCTTACCGCCACGATACATCAGAAGAAGAGGAGGAGGAGGAAGAGGAAGAGGATGAAGTAGATGCTCGACACCATCGCCCACAAGACGATTATCAAGAGGAATCTGATTTGGATATTACCGGATCTGATGATGAATCAGTTTTATCAGTTGAACAAACACAAACAGTAAAGAGCAACTCATCCAACTTGTTTCAATTCCACTTTGAATTTGGCTCAAAACGACCACCAAGAACAACTATACAGCAAGATATGCAAGAGGAATCAGACGAACAAGAAGCATCCGACATGGAAGAGGAGGAGCCGCACTCTTTCCTGTCAAGTGAGCAACAAGACAGTGATTCAGAACGCAGCTTGTTTGATTCTGCCTCTTCGTCCAACGATGAAGATGATGAAGATGACGAAGATGGATGGAATAGCAAACGTAAGCTACCTTTATAGTCACGAGAACGCTTCTTTTTATGCATTCACACACATACACACACATGTACCTTACCTTACCTTACCTTGCTATACATTATTCTTCTCCCTATATCCTCGAAACTTGATTTTTTTTTTTATACTGACTCTTTTTCTTTTCTCTCTTTTTCAAAGATGTTATGGCAGATTCCAAATACTTTCCATCTGCTACTGATGAAGCACTGCAGACATTTGAAAACATTGAAGCCAATATCTACATTGGATCAGCCACAGGAAGATCCATGGCAGAGGAGAGCATGCCCTGTGAATGCAAATACGACTCTGAATTAGAAAACCCAAACGAGGCTTGTGGCGACGACAACATTTGTATCAATCGCATGATGTTTATGGAGTGTATCGTGCAAGATTGCCCCTGTGGTCGATTGTGTCGAAACCGTCGTTTTCAATTAGGTCAGTATTCGCCCGTGGATGTGATCAAGACTGAAAAGAAAGGGTTTGGTTTGCGTGCATTGACAAATCTACCTCAGTAAGTGTGCTACCAATATGGGCAGATGACAGCCTCTTATTGATGATTGCTCTAGAAACTCGTTTATCATGGAATACATTGGCGAAGTCATCCCACAAACCGAGTTCCTTCGACGTACCAGAGAGTATGACGCAGAGGGATTCAAGCACTACTACTTTATGACATTGAAAAACGACGAGGTAAGTGTCTTTTTGATGGGCTTGTGGGGATCTAGCAAGGTATTAAGTGTTTTGTGCATAGATCATTGATGCAACGAAAAGAGGCTGTTTAGCAAGATTCATGAATCATTCTTGCAATCCCAACTGCGTCACACAAAAGTGGGTCATTGGCAAAAAGATGCGCATTGGTATCTTCACCAGTCGAGAAATCACTGCAGGTGAGGAACTGACATTCGACTACAAATTCGAGCGTTACGGTGCGATGGCGCAGCCTTGTTACTGTGGCGAGCCCAACTGCAAAGGATTCATTGGTGCTTCTGATGAGAAAGCAGCCGCTATGGCAGCAGCAGCTTCCTCAGCTGATCACGACGAGGATCTGTTGATGGATACACACATGGGCGCAGAGGCGTCTCTATCTACGTCTTCTTCTGACGACGACGACGAGTTTAGCGATCAAGACAAGGACGAAGATGAAGTCATGATGCAAAAGACGAGAAAACCACAACCACTGCAAGATCCTCACAAGGTGCAGTCTTTTGTCAAGCGCATGCTGAATTCAGTGGGCAAGCCTCGACTCGTCAACAAACTGCTGATGCGACTGCAAATGACCAACGTCGACAATTCGCATGGAAGAGAAATCCTCAAGATGATTGTGCGCTTGCATGGTCTCAAGATGCTAAAATTTTGGCTGGGCGAATGGAAGAACAATGAGATGATTGTATTGCGAGTGCTGCAAGTGCTGGAGAGACTACCGCTTGCCAACAGAAATGGGCTAGAGGATTGCAAGTTATTTGATATTGTACAAAAGTTTGTGGATCACGACAATGAGGAGATCAGCCGGTTGTCACAGCACTTGTTGGATGAATGGAGCGAACTGAAGTGTGTGTACCGTATACCAAAGAGAGCACATGTAGACATGTCAGTCACCACAGCAGAGGAAGAAGACGATGACGATGACGACGATGATATGGAAGAAGGCGTGGAGGAAGAAGGAGAGGCGCAAGACAAGGATAGTGAACAACACGCAGATGCCTCTTCTACAACTACAGTTCCTGCCAAAAAACCAGCCAAACGACACAATCAACGAAAGAGGTTCAAACGAAAACGCTTTGAGTCTACACGAGAGTTCTTTGATCCAGACAACGACCTTTACGAGTACTTTTCCATGGACGCCACCCCAGAGGACCTTGCCTTCAAGTTGCTATATCCACCGCCATCCTCGATTCCAACTGCACCTAAAGCTATGCTTGAATCCAACAACAATAATAACAACACTGTATATCACCATCAAAAGCATTATAATCACACCAAGCATAAGAAGCCCACTGGAGGAGGAGGAGGAGGAGGCTTCTTTTCTTATCACTCTACGAATAATATTAACCACCAAATATCTTCATCTACTCCTATTACTATACATAATACAACTTGTACACCTAATCCTACAATAACAACTACAGATGATACCCTGCTTCAACAGCAACAAGCATACACGGATTACTATCAAAATCCTTCGTCCATGTATGACTACAGTCAGTTTTACTATGCTCAAGCAGCAGCAGCTGAAGGGATGACTGTGGAGGAGTACTATTACGCATTTCAACAGCAACAGCAACAGCAACAGCAACAGCAACAAGCTGCGATGCCTGCTACCAATTGGCAACTGGCAGTGACAGAAGATGGATCCACATATTACTACAACATGGCTACACATCAAACACAGTGGGAGATACCACAAGAATTGGAGCAATTGCAATCACAAGTACCTCCTCCTCCTCCGCCACCGCCGCCACCTCCACCTCCACCTCCATCCTCGTCTACTTCCTCGTCATTACACTCTACTTTACCGCAACCCACTTCCTCCACCGCTTCATTACAGAAAGCAGGTTTATCCATTGAGGGTGTCGTTGATCCACTGCAATTAGAAGGACTTGTTGAGCAAGCCATATTGGAATCGGATGAAAAGAAGCGACTTTTGCAATTGAGTCTGGGCGAAGATAGTCCTAATAGTAAGGGAAGCCATCTGCTCACACCTACCAGTGGATCTGTAGATGCTGCCATGAATGAAGAGGGTCCGTATTTAAATGACGTCGATTTGAAGCGAGAAGTTGGAAAAGTGGTGACAAAGTATCTGTCTTCCAAGCAGCAAGCGCTCTGGAAAGGAGATAAGCATGTGTTTAAGGATCTTGCTCGCAAGGTGAGTTTGCTATGGCGTGTGCTATTATACACCTAGACTAACATTGATTGTACCTAGGTCACTCATCATATTGTGGACAGGGAAATGCAATCTGGTCGAAAGATCAAGGCCATGGACACTGGTTTACGCATAAAAATTGAAAAGTTCATTGATGCGTATGGCACTGACTACGTATCTAAATTCAAGCAGAAAAACCTCGTTGGCCTATCTTCCAGCAGTAGCTCACCGTCCATGAATATCAGTTAGACTTTGTACATATATATATATTGAAGTATTCCGCGTTGCTCTCTCTCTCTCTCTCTCTCTCTCTCTCTCTCTCTCTCCCTCATTCTCATTTTCTTGTAATAAATGTTTCTTTCTTTGTTTGCTGTAAATGTATACGCTTTGACAGATGTCCATGTCATTGGTCAAACAACTGTGCCACCAAGACCACACCCGATTTTAGTACGTCAGCGGCATATAAGGCAACATCAAACTCTCTTTTCTTTTTATCACTTTTGCTTATACCATCATGAATGGACATAATGATGGCAGTAACAAGAGATTCACAGCAGAAGACGAACCATCGCGCAACAAGAGAATCAAGAATAGCCCATCGTCCAGAGAAATACCCAACTTGCCCTCTCAGCATTTATTGTTGGAAAAGATCAAACACAAGTACGCTACATCCAGCAACACAAGTATCAAAGTAGCTAAAAAGTGGTATGCAGCCTGGGAAGGTTACTGTTTGCAACTGTTCCCATTGCACCCGCCTCCTATGTATTTGGCAAATGATGATGATAACCCGGATGATTACGTTCTACTACCTCCAAGAGCTGTGCATTACCTTCGAAGTTGGTAGGCTGCCACCCATTTGATTGACTATGCCTGCTACTAATACACGCACATAATGGCCAGGTATGGAGGAACAGATCAAGTGATGGGGTTAGATCTCAATACAGCAACCCATCGAGCACCTAGCACGCCTACGACGACGTCTGAAAGAAAGAAACAACACTCTCGACATCCACCATCACCACAAAGACGCAGTTACACTGCCTTTTCAGACAATGAAACTGACAACGATGACCGTAAGCACCCACAGCTTCAATTTAAAGTATATATCCTTGATAAAGCTGTTGGTGCATGCAACTATTCTTTTACTATATCAGCAAATGCAACAGTATCCGATTTCCAGTCGGCTCTCCTAAAAGCCCTGAATATGCGTCCTTCTTCAGGAACAGTACCTATTTCAGATTTATGGCTCTTGAATCATGAAAACACACACTTTTTAAACACATTGAACACTAAAACATCATTCATTCTCAAGAAGGGTTTAATGGAAAACTCGGATCGATATGCTCAAAAGATTGATTCCTCATCCATTGCATCTGATTCAACCATTTCATCCTGTTTGTCTCGCTTGTCAGCAACAATAACAAACAACACCAGTAGCAATCCAAAAAACACCTATCTGTTGGCAGTAGAATTGGCGAGAAATAGATCCATTCGATCGCCTGTACAGTCGTCCCAACCGTCTCTATTTACTGCGAGAGCCAGAACAGCAGCATCTTTCACTCAACACACATTGGGATTACATGGACTACAGAATCTGGGAAATACGTGCTATATGAATTCAGCATTGCAGTGTCTCAGCAACACACCTCAACTGACCCGTTATTTTATGAGTAGGAAGGACAATGTGTATAGAGGTGATGTTACTGATAATGAGATTTTAGGCGGGGAGTATCGTCAAAACATCAACAGATCGAATGCGTTGGGTCTGGATGGAGATTTGGCCGAGGCATATGCTAAATTATTAAGGGACATCTGGACACCTAGCACCAGCTTCAGCTCAAAAAGAGTGGGAGCGATATCTCCCGAGAACTTCAAGGTAAACAGCTAGAAATAGAGACATTTGAGATGAATCGAACATACTCACATGGTATATATATAGAGTACGTTTGAGAGATTCAATCCACATTTCATTGGATATTTGCAACAAGACTCTCAAGAGTTGCTGGGATTCTTGCTCGATGGACTGCACGAGGACCTGAACAGAGTGCTGGATAAGCCCTATATCGAGATTCCAGACTTTGATGACCATATCAAGGACGAGGAGATTGCAGATAAGTTCTGGAGCTATCACAAGTCGAGAAATGACTCCATCATTGTGGATATGTTTCAGGGACAGTACAAGAGTCGACTTGTCTGTGGAGAATGTAAAAAGGTAAATGGTAGACTAGGTTGTGATTTGTTTGAATGTGCAACGTATTTATACATAAATCAATTAAAATTCTATAAAATGACAAGGTGTCAATCACATTTGATCCATTCATGTATATATCCTTGCCACTCCCAGTCGACAAGGGTGAAATTAATGTTGTCTACGTGCCTTATCTGCCTTCGCAAAGGCAGCTTGCCATCAAGATTCAGTTGGAAAGAGAGGCTACTATCAAAGAACTCAAGCAGCAGGTAGAAAAGCGCATTGCAGACAGTCCATCACTATCTATCCAAGAGAGCCACAGTGCAAGTATTCTTCTACCTCAAACAAACGTATGTGTCTACTAAACTGCATTCTCTTGGATAGTTGCTGGTAGTGGAAATCTGCTTTCAAAAAATCCATAGAATATTTAGAGATAGAGATCTCATTCGGTCCATCAGACCATTCGATACTATCCACGTGTATGAGCTTCCATGTCCCTCCACCGAGCAAGACAATGAAGATTGGATCGTGTTTCCCGTTTACTGCTCAACAACGCTTGACCAGCAGAACCCTCTTTCTGCTGTTTCATCCATTCCTCAATTTGGCCTTCCTATCGTGCTTGCTATTGAAGCTAAAAAGTTAGAAAATTCATCCTACTTATACAACATCATTGTCAGCCATATGGAGCGATACTGTATACTCAAGCTATTTGAAGAAGACAGATCACCCTCTTCATTGCCTTCTGTATCTGACGCAGCTACAAGAGACCCAAGCACATCACCATTCGTGCAACAACCCATCCATACCACTGCTGTTGTTATCCCTGCGGGTGGTCGTCCCATGGTGCCTATGCCCAATTTGTTCAAAATTCGCATCTTTGAGTACAAAAACACTCCAGACTTCTTTACATTTCCAGTTGGTGAAAGTCAAATCCGCTGGTACGATAATGCACAAGATTCATTGAAGCAAGGTCGCGGTGTGCTCATTGAATGGACTGCAGTTAAGGCACGGCAATTCTTTGGCACAGAAGCATCCACCGACGAGATTAACCAAGAAGCCTGGTACGATCACGACCAAGATGAACAGAGCGCAAATACCGAGGATAACGCAATCAGCGGTTACAAAACTCGATACGGCAACAGCAGCAATAGAGACTCCTGTGTAATTACGCTCAATGATTGTCTTGACGAGTTCACAGGGGATGAACATCTCGATGACCAAGATTCTTGGTACTGCCCTCGTTGTAAGAAACATCAACGCGCTTTGAAAAAAATGGATATTTGGAAACTGCCAGAGATTATGGTTGTACATTTGAAGCGATTTAGTCAAGCCAGACATTGGGGCAACAAGGTGAACACCATGATTGATTTTCCACTCAAAGAGCTGGATATGACAGACCGAGTATTAGGCCATCAGGACGAGAGTTTGATCTATGACTTGTATGCCGTGGACAATCATTACGGAGGCATGGGTGGTGGTCATTGTAAGTTGTGATTCTGCGCAAATGTTATCTGCTGTACTGAGCTTAATTATAGATACGGCCTTTGCTCAGAATATAGACAGCGGGCAGTGGTATGACTTTAATGACTCTAGTGTAACTGCAATGTCAGACAAGGATGTCAAGGTATGTGCCATTATACATGAGATGCTTCTAATAAGCACTACTTACTGATCTTTACATTAGACGAGTGCTGCTTACTTGTTGTTTTACAAGAGAAGAGCATAGTCAAAATTGTATATACTGTATATGACAAGATTGTATTGGAGTGTCAGAAACCAAAAAAAAAAAAGTTGCATTAATCAAACTCTAAACTAACATAAATATGAATTCTTCTGCTAAACATTTTCTAATGATATGATATACACTGAAATTTGAGTTTTTAACTTGGCCCTATCGCATGAGACCACCTTTTAATCAATCAGTAACTGTAAATCTCACTCTTTTACGATGTCCCAAGCCTGCATTTCAACAAAATCAATCTAATATATATATGGTCAGACAGCATAGTTGAGTTGCATTAGCTCTCACTTGTCAAAATTATGCAAAATACAATGAAGCTTGATGTATTTGAGGCGTGTTTTCGGGGGGGTGGCTAACGTACCAGCAATATATTAATAAAGCTCATAAATGTTCACCCTGTCCAGCAGTGCTGTAGCGCTCGCTTTGCCTGCTACTTTTTGTGTAGGCAAACCAACAAATCGTCTCTAGATATTGATAGACTTGCACACTTCTTGTACTGCACGTAATATAAATACAAGACGATGAAAGACGACAGTGCAAGTTTTTGGCTCCTAGTAAGTATGAATTCGTCACTATAGATTTTCAGTTTGGGTTGTAGTGCAATTTATTGATTTACATTACTGAAGGATAGTTGTATATATGCCAAGTCTAGAGAATGATGTGGAGCTTTACCAAAATCAATATGCCTCCTATTCAAATTAGAGGTTGCACGGACTGCAGAACTGTCCTTATAAAGAATTTCAGCTACCTATCGAAGATGTGATTCATTCCGTGTAAATAAATGCTACTATAAAGCCAAATTTGACAGCTTTCAAGCCTTATTATCTTGACAATTAGACCTCTCTGAACCTCCGGAATGATGCCAAACAATTGTGCTTGAGTAGCAGTAACTTTCTGGCATTTTTGCTCGACTTTTTTAAGGACCAAAAAAAAACATGGCCAAAAATCGACCAAAAAGCATGAGGTACCTCTCATGGTTTTCATCGAAAATCAAACAATCACATTTTTGACCTTGAAAATGAAGACTTTTACTATGGTATATATTGAATCAAAATGCTTCTCTCGATCCAAAGCAACTTCTGAAACTACTTTTATGAGGTTTTCATATCCAAATTCTGGATATTTTCGCTAATAATCTCGTTTCATGTTTTGCCAAATTGCTCAATAGTTTCATTTAAAATAACTATTACAATTAATGCCATTGGAAGCGCCTTGAAAAGTACTTCAAGAATGTATTAGGAAGCGTAGGGCGACTATTACAGTTTATATAGTCGAATACAATAGAATAGATTAAAGAAGTCGAAAAAAGACAAAATCTGTCCAATCTTGAACAGAGAAAATAAACTGAGTTTGAAATTTTTTGGCGGGCGTCGCTGCTGCTTTCTTACCCAAATGCCTTTTTGATGATGACAATGGTGATGACAATAATGATTGCGATGCTGACCAAATGAAGTCCATGAATTTAATAGGACAATTGCTTAGTCCGAATACTTTTTTTTTTTGCTTTTGTTAGGAGTTTTTCCCTGTAAAGGTGTCTTTTGCAATGACAATCTCTCAAAAAAAAAGTCGCTGTAGATCTTACACAAGTCCTATATTTCCGTATGGCCAGCTTTATATTACCATCTCAAGAAGAACATCAGCTAATGGATACCTCCCCCTCCAACTCTGATCTTATAATCTTTCTTTCACTATTAATTGCTTGTTTAAAATCTACATGATATCTCTGATTTGAAATGTCTTTAGCAAGAGCTCGCAGGGCGACGCGGTCATCGAGCGTATCGAGATCGGTCGGCTAGCTGTCTTGTACAAGAGATCAAATATACTGTTAGGTTTAGTTGACATGTCAGGATCGAAAAAAGAAACAGGTGTGGCGAGTGAAGAGGATATTTTGTTAGATACGTTAGGCCCCAGTATTTCTTGTGTCAAAAATCGTTTTAGATCGCCGGAATAATGCCAAACAATCACTCTCGGCTAACACTTACTTCCTGACACCTTTGTTCAAGTTTTTAGGGATGAAAAAAAACATCGACCAAAATCGATTGAAAGTATGAGGGGTACCTCATAGTTTTTGTCAAAAATCAAACGATCGCTTTTTTGACTCGAAAAATGAAGACTTTTACTATAACACATATCAGATCAAAATGTTTCTTTCAAATTAAGGCAGCCCCTACAACTATATTTGAGAGGCTTTCATATGTAAAATCTCGACATTTTGACCCAAATCGTCATTTCGTATTTTCTAACTTTGCACATTATGTTTATTCAAAATGTCTCTTATAATTAGCACCATTGGATGTGCCTTGAAAAGTGCTTGAAGAAAGCTTACGGAAGTATGGTATGAACATCACAACTTATATAGTCGAATACAACAGAATAGATGAATTAGGTCGATCTTGAACAGAATTTGTCCAATCTGGAGCAGACAGTTGTCAGGAGTTTAATTAGAGTTGGTTGGCAAAATCATTCTGGAGACATTCGATGTTTGTAAAGCTAATAAAGAGAGATTGTGAATGGAAAAGTACTATAGCTTTACTAGACATCAATAACTTTAGGCGAGTAAGGCTCTGGTCCAGATATTTCACAAGTTTTTTTGTGATTCTATAAAGTAGAATAACATGAATTAACGTTGCTCATGATATATTCTCGATAGATCTACCAGTCTTCAAAAGAAAATGCATTCGTCGTCAATCTAGGTCTTGCTTAAATCTGTTGTTATCAATTTAATTGAATGCGATTTCCCTCTAAAAATGGGGAGCTACCTTAAGCAATCTTTCATTTGAACAGATTGCTAGCACGCATGAATACAGTACATCCTTTAAGGATACAGCGTCACGGAATGTTGATTGAAGCAGTAATATCAAAGGCGTGCATTTAATTTGATTTGAACGCGCAATGTAAAGTTTCTTGAGTCTTGACTAAAAGTGGTGCATTTTTTTCCATACGCAAACAATTACAATGGAATACGACGACTACGACCAAAGCTTCGCCTCAGCACCCGTAAGATACGCCCTTGATGATCATGATAGTGATGAAGAGAACGAAGCCTGTGCTCAAATCAGCAAGGTGACTGTACAGACCAATTTGACCATCGATAGCAAGATCATTGAGGATGGTAAATGGACCTTGATTTTTGGTCTAAATGGACCTGGTAGTGTATACCTCAACTCGCTTGAGGATGTCAAAGTTACGGCTGTAGGTACAATAGTCCGCTTGGTAAGTATAAATGGCATGACATATCTTGAAAGGGAATGAAACGGTTAACGGTGCATGATATAGTTTGATAATGAGGATCCTAGAACTAAGGCCAGCATCTTTCAAGTGGATAACCATCCTGTCATGTTGATTCCTTTTACCAAGGAGATTCAAGCTGAGGATGCTGCTCCCTACACAAAGGCTGTTTTCAATTTGTTCGAGGGAAAGGTGGACAGGGTGATTGTTTTGGATGCATTTACAGCCACAGGATATACATCAGAAACCTGGAATCAAGATATGGTGCCTCCTTTATTGCGCGTTTTGCAAACCTCTTCTGCTCCTGTCATGAAAGAGCTGCCTCTCTTCGAGATCCCTAATATGATCAAGGCATTAGCAGCTTCCATAGTCAATTACGTAAGTGAAGATGCCAAGATCTCATTGCAACATGTCGCTCATTTTGTCTTTTGTTATAGTGCGAGATGTATTCAATTCCCTGTTATGATTTCCTTACACTTCAGGAATCCATCTATGGTAAATTGCTCGTTAATGAAGAGACACTGGAAGCCTACAGCCAAGGATTCCATCATTTGGGATTAGATTTCAAATTCAATGGGCAAACTATGGAGCAGGTCCTGAGCGATGTTCACACTGGTCGAGTAGATGACAATCACCATCGCTTATATCTCTAAGCATTTCATCGTTTCCCTACAGCAGCTATACATATCCCTTCCACCCATTATTACATATTCAAAAGAAATTTACATGTAAAAAAACATGAAAAAAAATGTATTAAGAGAGAAATTTATACAAAAAAAAAAGGAACAATATAAACTTTTTGTCTGTGTTTTCGTTGCTGGTTGTGTAGATTTGGTGATTATGTATACATAGAGAGCGAGAGATGAAGGTATTCAAGGAAATTTCGTCATTTAAACAGCCAAAAGCTCACCCCAGTTGCGAAGAAAGACGATGGCGCCAGTAAAGACAGAGACAGAGAGAGCAATGTTGAGGTTTCCTTGACGCTTCTCGGGAGAAAAGAGCTCTGACTTGATAGTTTGAACAAAAGATGTGCTTTGTTGACCTTGTTCCAATTGACGCTTATCCATTTTATTTAGTGCTGAAGGAAGAAAAAAACGCTGTTGAATCTAGTGGAAAAAATTTGGGTTGTGGAGGGGTTACCCTTCGACATAAGTCACGATGAGGTGTAGTAGCATCAAAAAGAAAACTGAAAACTTTCTTCTTATTGGGTGCCATTTAAGAGAAACAGTCGATTCGGAAAGGCTCTTTTTCTTCATCTCTTTCCATTCAATTGAAAATGTCACTTTTTCGTCCTACTATTCTCTTAAACACTGCTGCCAAGGCTGCATCAATCAGAGCTGCTCCTGCCATGGCTACTCGTTTCTATACAGTAAGTGCATCAGATGCCCAAACTCGTGTATTGGATGTGGTGAAGGGATTTGAAAAAGTTGACCCAAGCAAGGTAAATCTCTATGCGCACGCATGAATGTCAGCATATTGAGGTCTTTGCATAGGTTACTGTTGACTCTGTATTTGTAAAAGACCTTGGTTTGGATAGCCTAGATGCTGTTGAGGTTGTTATGGCTATTGAGGAGGAATTCTCGGTCGAGATTCCTGATAAGGATGCTGATGAAATTAAGTCTGTCAAACAAGCTATTGAGTATATTACAAAACATCCTGACGCACAATAAAAGCAGAGGAACCACCTTACCATGATGTAGTATTGATGCAACGGTTTTCGCGTACATGGTGTTGGGAGATGATGCCGCCACAATGATTTAAGACAAAGTTTGAGCGTATTTACACCTCAAATCATGCCTGCCTACACTGTTGAGTTCCCTTTCAAAATCATTATTTTTTTGCTTTTTATTCTAGTTTATTTTTTTCCTCTATACATGTGTGATTTAAGCAATTTCTTCAATAATCATATCCTCGTCATCTTCATCTTCTTTGGGCTTGATTTCAGATACTTCGGCTCCATCCTCATCACGGACCAATAAATCGACAATGGTGACACAGTGCTCCTTGAGATCTTCATCTGTTTCTTGTAAATGAAGACGCTGAATGACGCGGTAAACTTGCTTTTGGCGCAGATAATCACGGCCATAACGAGTGGATGCTAATAAAATGATAGATTCCAACAACATTTCACGAAGCATGCGATCATTTTCACGTTTCTTGTCGTCATCCAACATTTGGATCTCTTCAGGGAACTGTTCAAATTCTTCAATATCGTACTCTTCATTGCCACACAAGGGCAATAAGATGAAAGGCAACACATTGATGTCGTTGGGATCTAAAAGACGTTCATGCTCACGAGTTTCAAAACAGCAGTTCTTAATGACAGAATCCACACCGCCACGACGAATGACATTGCGATCTTCAGTGAAAATTTGAATCTTGGTGAGTGGGGATAATTTGTCTGCAGGAGCAGGTTCGATCATAAAGACACGGCCCAAGCGAATACTTGACACGTTGGAGAACACGCTGGCTAAAAAGTGAAATTCAGCCTCAGGGTTGTATTCCTTCTTGTAGCCTTTGTGGAAGACCTCGACGAGTTGATCTAATAAACGGGTGGATTCGATGAGTCCTTCGACTGGTTCAGCCTTGCTGTTGATAACTTTGACACAGGTGGGTTCAAATTTGGTCATGTTAGATAAAAGCATACAAGCAAGATCGGCAAGAACGGATTTGGCATTCTGGTAAGTATGTCAACATATTGCTTCTATTCCTTGCGTATAGTATGCTTACAGTGATTAATCTGCCAATGTAGTTGAGGAAATCAAGGTCATCTAGTTCATGTTGAACAAGTGGATCGCTGGATAGGTTGATCAATGCACGAAGAGCGTCATGAGCGGTTACCTATACAATCCAAAGTATCAGCTCGTTAGTACCTTGTCGCACATTGGGATGTGGCTTCCATAGTAACGCTGCTATAAGCTGTCAAACGGTTGCTATGGAAACCATTGATCCTGTTACTTGGAAAATCAACAACTTACTGGATCCTCTTTACACAAAGCTTTAAGATCTTTGCAAACACCAGCTTTTTGCTCGAGCAATAGATGACGGTATTCATTTCCATTTGGCGTATAAGGAACAAGATGATGAAGTGCAATGGCTCTAATCTAATAGGGATTATCTATCAGTAATGGAAGCAAGATTTCAACGAGATTATCTACCTCTAAAGCAGGTTGATGCAAGAAAGGAATAAGCTAGATTGAATGAGGTTTTCCCTGTTAGTATCTCCAAGTTGAAGTTTGCATTAATTTTTACTTCTTTGATTTGAGCTTCCATTGTATATAGCGGTAAAAGAGAATAGATTGATGAACAATTTTTTTGGATGAACCTTTTGTTAGTTTCAAGAATGGCTTTGAGGTGACTGGTTTGATGACAAAAAAAGTTTCGAAGATGGAAGAAGGATTTGATTGAACAAGAGCAAACGAGGTGTTGCATTAGAGAGGTTCATTTAGTCATCAAGGACTTTCTGAAAAGGAGACCACACAGTTTACAGATGACTGACATTTATATTTATTTCAATTTTTTTTGGGAGTTCAATTAGATTTGTATGGTGTGTATCTTGACGAGAAGGGTGCGAGATGTAGGTCATGATGTGTGGGTGTTTGAGTGAGTTAGAGTGTGAATTTGAATCTATATACATTACTCTTGAGACATTGAAATGTATTTAGGCAGCACCGACGAGAATGTTGTTGATGGGGATGTGGATAAGCTATAAAACGCGTAAAATATCATCAGTAAATGCACAAGGTATGTGTAGCATGACAGAGATCTCCATTTCAATCCATGATCCCCTCTTTCCCATCTCACCAAAACCCATCTAATCCACTAATAACCTGATCATTACCTTGACAAAATAACCAAGAGCACCGAGAGCAGCAAAACCCATAGCAACAGCTTGAACAATCTTCAAGTATTCTATGGCAGAACAGTCAACATCGCATACATTGCCATGCTGGACGTGCATCTAGATTCTTACCTTGTTGATCAGGCTTCTTACAACGGTTGATGAATTGGAAACCATCCTTGAAGAATTGCTTGGGACCCTCAATAACTTGTTGGGCAGTATCCTTGATATCAGAAGAGCTCATTTTATATATATATATGGTGTTTGATAGAAAGGGAAAAAAAGGAAAAGAAATGTGATTCGAAAGGAGATTTATAAATATATTGAATTTTGGTGGTTGGTGATATTTCATTGGTTTAATGGCTGTACAGCCAATCAATCTGTGTCAAGTTACATTCGTTTGCAAAGGAAAGAGAGTTCCTAATGCTGCCAATTGTGATACAACAAACCACCTTTTTTTTCCTCTCTTTTCATCTGTGCCTCTTTCTTTTTCTTTTTCATTATTTCCTTATTGTTATACCAGACATGTCACAGCTGTTGCAGTCGATAATAGACTGGTTAAGAAGTTTGTTTTTCAAAGTAAATAAAATACGATTTTCAAATCAGGAGAACGTTTGCATTTAGAGTGATTTTGTTGTAAATACATTTGTATTCTAGACAGAAATGGAGTTGACCTTGGTTGGCTTACAAAACAGCGGTAAAACAACTCTAGTCAATGTGATTGCAGTAAGTTTAACTAATCATAAACAAACAAAACCGTATCAATCATTCCATCATCTGCTAATAGTCAGGGCAATTTATCGAAGATTCAATTCCAACTGTTGGATTCAACATGCGCAAGGTTACCAAAGGCAATGTGACCATGAAGCTATGGGACATTGGTGGTCAGCCGCGATTTAGAAGCATGTGGGAGCGCTACTGCAGAGGTGTCAATGCAATAGTGTTGGTATTCACGGCAGTGCGATGGGGAGATGGCGCATACTAACCATGTCCTAGTTTTGTAGTGGATGCTGCTGATCACAAGAAACTGGAGGCAGCCAAAGTGGAATTGAAGGGCTTGTTGGAGAGACCTCAACTGATCCACATCCCATTGCTTGTCTTGGGAAACAAGAATGATCTCCAAGAAGCCATCAGTTCAGAGCAGTTAATAGAAGCTTTGTAAGTGGTAGATAGCATGGACTGATATGTAGATAGATAATGAAGCTAAAACACAAATTGATAGACAACTCAAAACAATAACAAATCGTGAAGTTTCCTGTTACTCAATCTCTGCGAAAAACCACACAAATATAGACATCACTCTACAGTGGTTGATCAAACAAGGCAAAAAATGATTTAAGCTTACATTTTACTTCCCACCCCTCTCATTGTGTCTCTTTAATAAAACCTTGATCCGTCCTTTTCTTCTCTCTCTCTCTCTCTCTCTCTCTCTTTTCCTCTTTATTTCCGCATGATGGACGAATCAAAGAACAAAAATATACACATCAATTATGGCTCTTTCAGTAAAAATAGCAGCGAGGATGGCAATGGATTAGTGGACCCAGGTCAAGAAAGACTGAACCAACTCGGCTACAAACAGGTGAGCTAGCTATGAACTTCCCTCAATGTTATCCTGCTAAAATTGCACTAGGAACTATCAAGAAGACTCTCTACATTTGCGACATTTGGTAACTGTGCATGCTAAACATGCCTTGTTTCATGTAGCCTCATCATCATCATCATGTCTTCACAGGTCTGGCATTTTCAAACATTGGGATACTATCAAATACATCGGCGACATTCCAAACTGGTACACACATCTTCTCCATATAAGCAATGACATATATACTAACACTTATCAGTGTTACAAAGAGGTGGTCCTGTGACGATGCTTCTTAGCTGGAACATAGTTGCCATATTCATGATGTGTGTAGCCCTATCATTAGCAGAAATATGCTCGCTGTATCCTACCAGCGGTGGTCTGTATTATTGGGTGTACGAATTAGCAAGCAGACATCCTAAAGGAAGATCCAAGGCGCCGATAGCGTAAGAAGGGTTATCAGCAAACAAACATGAGAGATGACATGAAACAACTGACATGACCCACAACAATTAGTGCTTTTATCACTGGATGGGCCTATTCGCTAGCAAATGTTATTTCCATCGGTGCTACCAATGTGACAGTAGGTACGTTCAAGAGGTATTTACGAGTGCAATTACCTCAGCTAAATCGCGCTGTATAGCCATGTCACTGGGATCTATTCTTAAATTGACATTGGATGTGGATGTACCAAAATCATGTTTGATGGTGTTGACTCTTAGTATCACTTTATTCCATGGATATTTGAATACGCGTGACATGGGTGGTTTGGCAATTCTGAATCAGTGGAGCGTGTTTTGGTCATGCACAGGTCTTTTGGTCATCATCACCGCATTGTCTTGTTTGGCACCACATAGAAACGCTTCTTGGGTATTCACGCACTACCAGAACCAAACTGGATTCGAAAATCCTGGATATGTGCTTGTACTGGGCATGATTGGTGCTGCTTATTCATTGTTTGGTAACATTTCAAGGTTTTCGTCTGGCATGTGTGCAACTTGAGTTAACCACGCTTATTATGAAGGTTGCGAATGCGCTGCATCGGTCAATGAGGAGACCAAGGACGCTGATATCTCATCTCCACTGTAAAGTATTAAATCCAACCTTGCATAGACATGCTATTGATTTTTCGACATAGAGCCATGGTAAGCTCAATTGCAGTTTCTTGGGCTGTGGGGTTCGCATTTTTGATTGTTCTGTTGTTCTCGATTCAAGACATTGATGCCATTCTTGATTCAACATTGCACATGCCAGTGGCACAGCTCTTCTTTGTAAGTCGCTAGTCATTACTTGACTGAATGACCATTTTGCCCTGACACTATCTGAACAGGACGCCATTGGTGTATGGGGCACCATGGGTTTTTTAGTGCTGATTGTTGTATGTCAATTCTGTACAGGTGCAACAACGATCACGGTCACTTCAAGACAGATTTATGCTCTAGCTAGAGATCATGCAGCTCCCATGAGTTCAGATCTCAAGAAAATCAACTCTTACAAACTGCCGGGAAACGCTGTCTGGTTCACCGTTGTCATGACATGTTTGGTGGTCTTGCCATTTCCTCTATCCGAACATTTATTCGAAACCATTGTTAGTGCCACGACCATCACCATTCATTTCAGCTATGGTAAGTCATCTGTGCTAGTGTGTGATGTCATGCTAATGATTGCCCTAAAGCCATGGTGTTGGGATGTCGTCTAATTGCACCAGATCCAGAAAAGAAAAAGGGTCGTTTTCACCTTGGCCGGTGGAGTGCTCCTATCAATATTATTGGGTTTTCGTGGGCAGTGTTTGCCATTTTTGCATTCATATTGCCTACTTCATGGCCAATTACAAGCGATACTTTTAATTATGCCGGTGTAGGTCTAGTTTTGGTGGTCATGACAGTTGTGTCTTTTTGGTTGGGATGGGGACGCTATCATTACGAGGGCCCAAAGGCTATGACGGATGATATATAGATTATTTGCTAGATTTGCTTGTATATATGTATACCTGTATCAATGAAGAGTAGATCAGAAAACTTTTGATTTATAGCCGAGTCCAAGCTTCCAACGTTTGTTTAAAGGAAATGCATGATAACCTCGACTCCACCATACTGGAACAAAGCGAGATACGACCATAAAGAGCTGCCGAATAAAATACTCTGAGTAGTATGTCTCGTTCTCCTTCAACCATTGTTATTTTTAGACGTTAATGAAAACTTGTCCATAATAGCTGGAGTGTCATTACTAGAAACGGTGCATTCTCTTCATGGCAATGATTGCTTTTGAATTGCTACTGACGAGCACAGGCTGTTTGGGTGTTAATGAATCATACAACTCCTTGAAAAGACATGATCGCGTTGTAACTCTATAGCCACATTGTACGATCCTAACTTTTTACAAGCTAGTAGTTGTATAAGAGTTATGTGTATATCACCAAAATCTGCACAGAGCATGGTTTCATCTGCTTTGCATTCTTTAATGAGAGATATTGCTATTAGAGTCTGAAATGAGCCCCAATAGCTACCTGTCTGACATGCTGGCTTCTACTGCAGTTCACTTGTAAACGACTGTAAATTGGATCTTATAGCTGATAAGCCAGCACGAATGATAACTCAACATCTACATATGTAGAAATTCAACAAAATAGGAGATAAGACTAGTAAATGATGAAGAGAAAGAAGCAAGTGTATCTACATTTATTTTTTAAGGGACGTTTTGGAGTTTGAAGAGTTGTTTCTACGGTGGTGGTGGGGAATGCTTTTCAAGGCCGTGTTCAGTTTTGACATGAATTTCTTCACACGTTGCTGTTGTTGATGTTCTGGTATTGCTGGTACACTACCTTCGCTGGCCTGCCATGAAAGGTTTACCTCTTCTTCATTGATGGTATATATGAAGGGGGGAGAAACTGAGTTATTTGGGTTGGAAAGTGACGAAGAAAGAGGAAATGTGCTCGATCTAGGTGTCAGTAATGGACTATTTACATTGGGTGTTACAGATAGAGGCGTGGCGTTGTTGCGTTTAACGACAGGAGAATTACTGGGCTCTTTGACATGTAGGGATGATGGAGAAGGTGTGCTTAGTGGTGATTCTATTTGTTTGGGTAAATCGGTAATGATCTTGGCATCTCCATGAACAGGCGCACGGCCTAATTTGACTCTAGTCTTTTGCCACCAAATGGGAGGACAGGTGGTTCCTTTTTGCTCGTCATGAACAGAGGGTCTTTGACGAATGCTTGCTTCACTAGTGCTTGGCGCCGGCAGGCTCGATCTTCGCATTGCAATTTCTTGTTCTCCTTCATTGAGCTGAACAAAATCGTCAGATTTCAAAACGTAGTTTGCAGGAGAAGCTGGCGCAGATTGCGATCGAAATCGGCTCCTTTGTTTTTTTGCTGATGTGCCATGGACAAGTGATCGTTGTGTCGCTAATCCTGACTGGAAGACGTAATACAAAACAGACCAGATCCAATAAATCTCTGATTGTATTAATGCCATGCTGATAATGACATAATTGGGATTGTGGGTGTTTGATTTCAAATGAAGAAAAGACCTCATTGTGGGGTAGTGTGAGTGTGTAAAGTAGAATTACGAGTTTTTTGTTGTTGTTGCAGAATGAAAAGGAACTGATATATCCTTTTATATACAAAAGGTGGAGTTGGGCGTCGGGTCTAATTGTTCTTTTGTAGAAAATTAGAATTTTGTCAACTTTTATACTGTTTCATCGAGATTGATTGCATGCTCAAAACTGCTTTGCTGCACTGCTGCTTCAAGATTCAATGGTGTTGAAGAGCTTCTGATAGGCTGGAATAGCACATTTAGCTATTATTTTCATAAAGAAAATAGAGTGTAGCAAGATACTTTTTTTTTTGCCATTTTCGGGGATGAATGGTGAAGGTGGGGTAATCTATCTCATATCCCTAACAAGGAATAAAGTCGCCGTTCTCCTAACTAGACCCAGCTCTGAAAGAAGCTATTAATACATATGCTATGTCGAAGTGCAGTTGAAGGAAACAATTATGACAGCCTTTGATAAGACCAGATTTCTGACACCTTGCGCTGCATTTCATCAAGATCAACACTGCATAACTGATGAACAATAAATCTTCATTGAGTCAGCTCTGTTTAAGCTCACAAGAAATGACAAGCGTTCAGTTTGAAATACCGGGTTACTGAAGAAAACCTTGGTTGTGAAATCAAAGATTTTGGAATAGACAGATTGCCCATTGGCAGTGTTCTACATTGATTTTATCATGATTTGGAACTTTGTTCTCTGGGCATCTAAATCCATTGAATGGCACAAATAGTTTTCTTTTACGCATTGTTCGCCTTTCGATGATGATTTTTCCAATGAAATAAACTTTCTTGAGCATTTACCTTTTACAAAATGGATGTCAGTTTGAGAATGATAAGCTATTGTGCAACCTTAAAGTCTAAAGTATGGTTGCATTTCATTAGTTGGCTGTATAGTTTTTTCTTGTCTTCTCAAAAGATTAAATATTTTATATCGGCAAATTGAATTTTCTCGCGCATCAAGATTAATAGAATACACCGAACCCAACGAAACTTTATTGAACATATCACCTTGTTATATCAAATGTCATAGCAAGGTCTCACACTAAAGGCTTTAGGCTATTCTTAGGTCCTTTGGGTAAATCATGCTAATCATGATTTACAAATCAATTGTTGGGTAGATAGTAAACCTATTTGTATTATAGTTCATCATCATGCTGTAAACCCTAGCGTAATGAAAAGTATATAAATGCATCCTTGGGATGCATTCTCAATAAAAGTATAATTCTTTGGCAGATTCAATTTTACATTGTATTTTGACATAACACACCTATTAGTTGTCGATAGGATTATTTGTTTATTTTGTAGATTGCTGCCCAGGTTCTTTGTCAGGAACATGCTGCTAAATTTGTTAGCCGATGCCGAGAGAATCTTGACAACAACGTTTCTCTTCCCTACAATAATGTATAATATTAGAAAAATTCCCTTAGACTATACACGTTTAAAAAGTAATCTCATTCAATCCATGTTATTCGTTCTTTCATGCTGGCCGGTTTTATGTTTCCAAGTTATATTGGTTCCGTAATAGTAGTTTTGAATTATTATTAGAGTTGTACTAAAAAAAAAGTATGGCGCACTCTCCAACAACTTACAATCATTGCGAAACCCTTCCTTTTCATCTTTTTGGTGGCTTTCACTATGGATTCGTTAACACCTTACCTACTATCGATCTGTCACCTGTAATTAAGAGGTTATATTATTCGACAAAGATGGCAGATTTTGTGTTCCAGTTAAGCCATTCAGTAAAACGGCGGTATTTTGAAGTATGAATTAGCTCAGCCTTCATGATTGTTAAGCGCAAAGAATAAAAAGATTATTATTTGTAGCTTATAAAAAATGTTCGATATTATAAAAACAAGAAAAGACTTATTTGAATAAGATCAGACACAAAAACTAAAGATTTATTGATGAAGACAAGAGTTATTCTATTTATACTAAGTTCTGAATGCCAAAATAGCAATTTATCTTGTACAACGCTTATCACATCTGGTGAACCTCAGTATTTAGATAGCTGAGATGCACTTCACTTATCATAGCTTGTCCATGTTGTTGCACAACACAGACATATCTACCAATCAAGAATACCTTAATCTTTATAGACAGTTGCAGCCCTTCTGGCACAACAAGAATCGTCTTATTTGTCATCTCAGTCTACAGTATCGAATATAAGTAATGGCGATGCAGCAATCAATGAAACAGTCAGTGTTGATACAGATCTTGAACTGGATGAACGTGTATCAGAGCCAGAAAACACAGAAATGGTGCCAGGTCTTCGAAATGAACCTCATGTTGTTTCTCCTGCCAGCCCACCTTCCGTTATTCAAGCTACTCCAGAACCTGATTCGACTACTACTGTGAATTTTTTCCCTCCTGCTGCTACAAACCAAACTCCCATTGTACTTATTTCTTGTCCTGGGCCACCAAAAAGTACTTTTGTCTTCAAAACATCTGCCATTCCAAAGATCCACACGCAAAATCAGACCACCCAACCTGCAAAAAAAACCGTCGTTCTCTCTTCTCACATACCAAACACTGCCACTGGTTCATCAAGTTCAAGTGATGTTCATGGTCGAACATTTGTCTCGAAGGGGGGTGATGTCAGGGTTGAAGGGTATTCTGACAGTGCTTTAGATCTGCAGGATATCATTGGCAGACTAAACACAAACAAGAATAAGAAGCGCAGGTTTAAACCTAGAGCGCCAGCTACTAAGAACATTAAATAGCGATAAACCTGGATAGCGCACAACATTACACAAACTATATTAGATAAAATCAATGTTCAAATCGAATATTAATAAAGCACCTTTTTTATCCATTCAACTAAAAGGTTATAACATCTTCCTGCAAACTCACTATCTCTACTTCCATTTATATCTCGATCAGATCTCAAATTACATATACTACCTGTACATATACTACCTGTACATACTAGCATCTGTCAAAAAGCAGACCAAGCCTAGCTAGCTCAATTTAATATCGGTTTTTTATTTATTTACAATTGTAGTCAACTGCGGAATCGGTATGATCATATGTTGCAAGACTAACAGTGATTCGGCGGGAAAAAGCATGTTTAAATTAAAGGTTGAGGGGAGCTGCTACAGGGAGGGGACCAGTAATGAAAACGGCATTAAAACCCACCAGAGAAGAGGAGAAACAGAAGGAAGAATGGCAATGGCCGCGCCGCAAGACGGGGGAGACGAACAGGACTCAAGGTAGAAACCGGCCAGACGCACCGCAGCACACCTAAACGTGCAAGCGCAAATACCGAGTAACATGCCAGGTTAGAAAGGCGGAAAATATGGATGCGAAGGTGGGATTCGAACCCACGACCTCTCGGCATACTCACTGCTTCCGCATGAAGCTCTAACCAAGTGAGCCATTCAAACATCCATGCCTAGCTAGCTCAGGCGAAAATTTATGGTTGTTTATTGATTACAATGAATTAGCAATGTAAAAAATATAGACTTATATGCATGCGATCTTTGGATCATTAGTTGCAAGTCCTGAGAAGCGACGTACAGCAAAAAAGCTTAAATTAATAGTTTGATCTCCATGCAGGAACAACATGCAAGTGTCCAGAAAAGGGAAAAAAGGTCCTAAACTAAAAATTAAACTGGTAAAAAAGAAGTACAGGCAGGAAAAAGGAGTAAAACAAGTGAGATAAAAGGGTAGAGAATAAGAAGCTATGGTGTATGAGACATGCAATTGAGGATACCTCGATGTTCAGACAGCAGCACAGACAAAATAAACCCACAGACCTCAGTGGCACAAAAAAAGCAAGAAAAAAAGGAGAAAACGAGGCATTTGCATATAGCAAAATGAGCAGAGAGACAAAGACCAAACGAGAAAGAAGCAGAGAAGGAGGACAAAGTGAATACGGACACTACCACAAAGGCAGCAGAAACAGAAACAATGAGAGTGGGAATGAGAGAGCAAAACGATTTTAACAACAAGGTGTCAATCAGTTATCAGAAGGCTCTGACATTTCAAGATCCTTGGTAGCAGAGAGAGTGGGGGAGACAGCATAAGCCAAAAGAGAGGCAGTTTCAGCATCATGATGCAAGAGGTAGCCAAGATAACTCAAACGTTGTTTCTTGGCTAAACGCTCTTGATCAGAGGATCGGGATGGTGGTTTAGCAGCAGCAGAGGAGGAGGAACGAGCAAGCAATTCTTCTTTCAAAATGGCATCAAATTGGGCTTGGTTGATGCGATCATACAAAAGAAAAGAACGAGCAACAGAAACACGGACAGAACGACGGACGAAAGACAGCGAACGAAGGCAGCGAAGGTTTTCGACCTCAATGGCCTGTTGGACACGCAGATCAGGAGAGAGAGAAGCAAATTTGGGATCTTTGAGATTGACTGGATCACATGGATCAAAGTCAATCAACGGAGAAGAGCCACGACCATGGAGATGCATGGCTTTGGTGAGGGTGAGAACATAGTCGTTGTGAACAAGGAAAGAAATCACATTCTGTACAGGATATTGAATATCCAGCACACGAGAGTTATTCAATCCTACGCCTTGTACAAGGCGACGCAGCTCAGAAAGACGACGGCGGACAGGAGTAGCATAGTACACAAATTGATAACCAGATGGTATATCACTTTGAGGAGCAAAAAGACGAGCAAGAGTAGCGGATGCCTTGGTGGCAGATGGAGGAGGAGGACGAGCAGCAGGCTTCTTCTTACGCTTTGCACCTGTATTAGATGCAACGACGGCAGCAAAAGATGGTTGATTTCCTGGAAACGAAGAGGTGGCAGAGGTAGCATTGGTGCATGTAGTTGATGCTGGTGCTGTTGTGGTGGTAGTAGTGGCAGGAGGTGGGTGGGATGATGATGGTTTGGGAGCCAGGCTAGTTGTAGTACCAGTAGCAGCTGCAAGTTGGGCTTCGAGAGCGTGACGAGCAGCTTCAGACTCTGCCAGGGCTGTTTTTAACCGCTCAATTTCGACATGGGCGGTTTCCAGACGAGCTAAGCGATTT